TCCAGCCCCTCTCATCACTCCTGAAAAAAGATGCCACATGGGTCTGGTCAGCCGCGCACCAAGCCGCCTTCGACTCAGTGAAGAAGAGCCTTGCTGAGGCGCCGATCCTAGCTCTTCCCGACGACTCGAAACCATATCACGTGGTTTGCGACGCGAGCGACTTTGCCATCGGCTGTGCGCTGATGCAGTTTGACGACGAAGGACGTGAACGGGTCGTCAGCTATCAGTCTCGACAGATGAAGCCAGCGGAGCGCAACTATCCTGTCCACGACAAGGAGCTTCTCGCGATGCGCTACGCCCTGATTAAATTCAGAGTGTACTTACTCGGCGAGCAAACCTTCGCAGTGTATACCGATCACGCATCGCTAAGGACAGCGATGAAGAGCCCTCATCTTTCCCAGCGAATGGCTCGCTGGTTGTCGTTCTTCTCCGAGTATAATTTCGTGGTTCACTACAAACCCGGCAAGAACAACATCCTTGCAGATGCTCTGTCTCGTCGTCCAGATTACGACCCACGCGATTCGCTGGGTCGACAACCGCTGCATGATGAAGACGACGAAGACAACTGTCCTATGTGCTTGGCGTCGGGATTGAACCTGACGAGCGTGTCTTCAGAAACCCCACTTCGCGACGAAATCCGGACTGCGTATGAATTCGATCCGGTCTATTCGAGTATTCTGGAACATCTCCGCTCGCCCAGTGAAAAGACACTGAGTACTTTGTCCCGCTCCACACGCCATCAGATCGATAAGGATCGGATTGAAGACGGGCTGTTAGCGTACAGCATCGATCGCTTCGATGCTTCGCGTGTAGTGGTTCTAAACGATCCTGACTTGCGCTCGCGGATCATCCACGAGTTCCACGATATCCCCCTTCGAGCTATCAGGGACAAAGCCGCTGATGTCGACGGCCGCTCATCCGGAGACGGATCGCCAAACCGAGCGAGTTAATCGCGTCCTTGAGGGCGTACTTCGCAGCTATGCGACGTCATTTACGAGCTGGAGCTCGTTCCTTCCGCCTGCTGAGTTCGCGCTGAACAACGCGGTCACGCGTCGACTGGCTTGACTCCTTTCTTCGTCAACAACGGTCGGCACCCTCGCCTTCCAGCTCTCCTCGCCGTGGGACGGCCCACGGCGCCGTGTGGCTCCACTCTGGGTGGGGGTGAAAGAGGCGACAACCACTTTGTGACAGCTCCGGTTTTGAGCCCATAACCCGTTACCATACCGGTTGCCGACAAGCCTTCTACGCCAACACCGGTAATGGACCATCAACCGGTTTCCATACCGGTTGCCGACTCCTCCTCGAGTGCAGCCTCATCTTCAGAGACTGTTAACGCAGTGACACACGCCCAGGCCAGATAGGCCCTGACGACCCCCCGCGACGCAGTGTCCCCTCTCGCCTCGTGGACGAATCGTGCCCTGATCAGTCCTGGCACCGCTAACGCGGTGTCTCCAACAGCGAACTACGCGCCAAAGCTACCGGCACAACCGGCTGATAAGACTGCTGTCTCAGACTCCCTTCTCCAGCGCCAAGCAGTCATCCGATACGTCCGCGACGCGCTGCAGACGGCGGTCGACAAGCAGAAGGAAAAACGCGGACAAGCGCGGCCGCAAACACACAGTAAACTTCGCGACAGGAGATCGAGTGCTCCTGTTGACTTCAGGAATCAGAGACTCTGCCGTCACCAACCTCGGCGCGAGTAAACTCGCACCGCGCTTTATTGGGCCTTTTACGGTGACATAGGTTATTGGCGAGGCTTACACACTGGATATCCTCACGTCGCTGCGACTACATCCGACGTTCTACGTCGGACGACTCAAGCAATACCTGCCCGCTACGATTCCTTCTTCGACTCAGTCTCCTGAGTCGCCGGCGCATACAGCGGCCGCCCCACCCGAGGGGCGCGCCGAGCCATCGCGCCATTCACACTAGGCGACTGCTCCACCGTCCCGCTCTGCAGACTACCATGTACCGCGCGCTCAAGAAGCCTCACGCGCGCCAAGAATTCCCGATTCGACTGACGAGTCTCAGTCTACTACTGTAGTACCATTGTAGCATACTTCAGGCTAAGTGCCATTTATCGTAGTAATTGTATGATCCAACAATCAGAAGTTTTGATTATAAAAAACGAAAGGAAGAGAAGACACCTCAAAGAGGGAAAGGCCAGCTCTCCAAGCCCTCCCGGGCCCTTTGGCCGGCCGGGGTTCCTGGGCCCTCTCCCGCCCTCCTGGAAAAGCCGTCCAGAAGCTCCCCGCGAGATCTTCCTCGCGGCTCCTAACCAGAACGTCAGTCGTATCAGCGGGACGGTCCCCCGCCGATTGTCGACTCAGCTGGCGAGATCCGCTGGATAGTCGAGAAGATTGTCGATCACAAAGACCCGCCCCGTCGGACGGGGCAGCGTCATGTGTCCACCAGTCGCACGGCTCCCGCCGTTCGCCGCTATAGGGTACGATGGCTTGGCTTTCCGGCGGACCAAGATACGTGGGAGCCCCGCGCGAATCTCCTTCGCGATGTCCCGGATGTGATCCAAGAGTACGACTCCAGTCTTCCTGCGCCAGAGAGCGCCGCGAATAATCACGCGGCGGCCGAGAACGAGATCTCCAGTCTGCACGACCACGCGAACGTGATCGAGAACGACGCTGCTGGCCAGGATCTCAGCGTCTCGTCCATCACGTGGGTGCCGCGTGCCGCGGTCGTCGTGCTCGTCAGCGACGTCGCCGTCGCTGGAATCTGCTGTTGCTGTTCCATCGTCCGCTCCTGTTGTCTGCTGTGCAAGTCGTGTTGTACTTCTCCTGCTTGGCGCAGGATCTGTCTCGTCCCCGCCTCGATCGTTCCTGTTGGCCACGTTTTTCTTCTCGTTTCCCTTTTGTTTGATTTGCTCCCCGCCCGTCGCTTATGTTGCGTAAGTGCAACTTTAAGAGGGGGGTGATGTAGTGGGCCACTCCATTACATAAGTAGGTAGATTTATATTACAAAAGTAGGTGCAGCAGCACACGGCTAGCGTGTGCTGAACTGCCGTCATCCTATTATGGGGAGCCAGACCCATTATCAGCCAATAAGGGTTTGACGTGTATTGGAGTGGTCAAGGCAAGCTGCCCTGGACCTAAATAAAACAGAGTTGATTTTCCATCAGACTAAGCACTTGGTTTCACTATCGCGGAACTTGCACGCTTCCTCATTATTACGTGTAAGCTAGTAACGGACACTCTAGGCCCGTTACACAAGAGGTGTAGATGCCTTTTACCAACGCTGTTTACCCCTTCCAAAGAAGGTCTACGAGAGTGAAAACCTTCCAGTTCATGATACCATATGTTGCTCAGTATTGACCGGGTAGTAGCCCGATTAAACCTTTTTACACGTTTTTTGCGTTTGATTCGCTATAAAAGACCAAGCAATACAGCGTACAAACCAAGACGATTTAGACAAAATTTTAGTAATTTATCCGATTTGTCAACTATCCATAATATCGTATTCCACTACACTTATGTTTTGCTTCCTAGATCTAAGTTCTCCTGTGATATCGATCGAGCTTTGCAAAACCGAGTTTAGTTGGTTTTAAGATTCAAATAATTTTCGAGGAGCTTCCATAATCCAGTACTATTGTATTGTTTTTTTTAAGAAGGTGACTATTAATAGAACTGCTTTCAGTACATTTTGAGCTCGTCTTTAGCTTTTTACGAACTTAAGCTAGTCGTTACTCCTGATTCGCTACGCGTTCGCTGCGTCATGTAGATAGTCTTTTGCGTCATCTTAGTCGACTTTGAGCTTCCACGGAGGGTTTTTAACGGTCTCCCGTGTTAACCAACCCATTGCATCAGATAAAACTCTAAATTAGGAGCCCAGCGCTTGACGTAGAGGCGTTCTACATCGTAGAGCTCTTCGATCTTTCTGCGCCGAGCTCGACAGCTGCCAAACAAACCAGACCCCCCTCTGAGCGATCGCCGTTGTTGTCCAAGCCTCTTCGTTACTGGGAGGGCGAGTAGGTAGGTTTTTGCTAATCTTGAGCTTGAAGAAGGATCCGTCTGCCTTTTGATTGAAGTTCCTGGCGTGGTTTTTTGCGCTTGTTTTGCGGCGGCATCTTGATAAATCTAAAATGAGGCTTTACATCTCCAGATGTCAATGTAGAGCTTTTATCGGTCAATTTTTCCCAGAGATCCTGTGTTTTTAGCGACGATTAACTAAAAATATTCCTGGCGTTTCCGAAAACTTTCCACAATGTCGCCTTTGAGCCGGTCGTCAATATCACTTTACATCCGTGAAATTAGATTTGGGCCCAATCGAAGCAACGAGATCGGAGAAAGTCACTGATTGGCATACCGTTATGGGTATCCGTTGAGCTTGCGTGCATGTGCAACATGCCATATTTTCACAAGCGATGTAAGAGCTTAAACGTCTTGTGTACACCATTTCAGGTTCGTTCTCCCCACCGCAGGAGTTCGATACAACCACCCCAAAGCCGACTTGCACATAGGACCGAACAAATCTCAGTTCAAAACACCCAATACCTGAGTTCAATACACACAGGTGACTCTTTTATTTTTTTGCCAATTACTGCGAAAGTACCAGCTTTTGTCATTTCGAGACCATTCTAGAATTCGAGACAATTCCACCCAAGCCCGCGTAGTCTCCACCACAACGTCGTTGTGAGCTGCTACCAATCGCCAGTTCTCACCCTCCTTCGCTGCCTCGAGAACACGTGCACGAACGTCTTCAGGGTAAGTGTTACCCATTCTGCCAAAACGAAAGGGGCGCGAGGCGAAGCGATGAATGGATGGATGCCTTTGGATTCTCGAATGGTCTCGAAATGACAAAAGCTGGTATTTTCGCAGTAATTGGCAAACAAATAAAAGAGACGCCTGTGTGTATTGAACTCAGGTATTAGGTGTTTTGAACTGAGATTTGCCCGGTCCTATGTGCAAGTCAGCTCTGGGGTGGTTGTATCGAACTCCTGCGGTGGGTAGAACGAACCTAAAATGGTGTAGTGTTACGAAGAGCAGTTGATGGCTGTGAAATTGAGCCCTCTACACACGGAACGCGTGTAAACCCGACATGTTTTGCGTGATTGTGAGCAAGGTTTGCTTTAGGCAGTTTCCACACGGCGTTTAACCCATTGACATTCACAAAAAATGGACACTGCAAATTTTCCGAAGGGGTTATTTGATCAAAATACAGGACGCCATTCAGTTTCTTGCAACCATATTTTGCGTTACCAGAATTGGTGGTCTTGACGTTGGTTTGCTGGACAAAAATCTGAAATCCGCACTGCATTGCAAATGCCTTGACACGACCTCGACCAAGCTCTGCGAGGGGAACTCATCTTCTGCAATATTCGCGTTGCGATTGTATGCAATTCCGTAGGATTGCTGCGAGGAATCTTCGATCTGGACTTGAACTGTAGGAAACAGAATCCTTAGCTCTAGTGCAGTTGCTAGATCCGCTGTGTCGACAACGAAAGTGCTTTGCAAAACTTTTCTGAGTTGGTACAGATGCTGCTACTAGCTTGAGCACAGCACTGCGCCGTGCCTTCTGCAGCATCGATACGTGCGTCGGCAGTTAGTTCTGGAGGAGAATGGGCATTTGACGGACAGTGTGCTCTTGGAGACGTCAATTCCAAAATGAGACGACAGGGGGGGAAATGACAAAATGTGAGTGGATACACTAAAGTTGTGACAGAAAGTTAAAGGTGTGTCAAAACGTGAGCAAAGTGGGGTCGGTATCGCCGGTAGGTGTGGGCGTCAGTAAGTGAGGAATATAGGGAACAAACGTCACAATGTGTGTCCAAATGATTGAATGGCTGAAACAAGGTGGGCCGGACTTAAACCCGAAACCTGTTGCATACTAGTGTTCGACATGCGTATGAAGACCCAAATCGTACACTCTTGTGGAATACGGCACACTAAGTATCAGACGACATTGCTTGAACAGACTCAGCGAATACCGAGAGGAGGCGCGTGCCTCGATGGCTCGTGTTTCGCTCTTGCGTGCCTCCAAGACATATCGGCAACCCGACCGGCGACAGTGAGGGGGCGGCACACGCCGGCGACCAGGAGTAGCCGGTGGCACGCGGCTACTGAAGCAGCAGTAGGAAGGACAGGTACCGCTGCCGCAGGAGCTCGTAGATAAGGATAGTTTGAGGACTCTTTGACTAATCCCACTTCGCAACTTGGTATACAGCGCGCAGTACGTCATAGCTCTTAAGTCTTAAAGCCACTTAGTACGACTGAGGGACGCAAAATGACGTAGACAATCGACGGCATCGCTGATGGATTGGACAGCGGCGATGCGGAAAACACAATTCAGGTCGGAATGACTTTTGATACTGCTTCACATGTTCCTCATGCTGTTCAAGACTACGCCTTATCTCATGGGAGGTCTGTACAGTACGAGTTTTACGTGCGTGTCTATACTCAGTACTGCGACCGCTGTAGCATAACATGGTTTCATGCAATACCAGTGTCTGGTGAGCCACAAGAATACACCGCTACAGGTCCGGATCACCTAGCCCAGCTCGTACTTGAGCAGGAAATGGATGGATTTTCAGTGAGCGATCTGCAGGCCTATTATACGACGTGGCTGTGTTTGTAATATATCCCCCTGAGTCAGAATAATTAGCGCGAGTTAACCTGACTTTCTCCTTGAGTCAGAATAACTCGCGCGAGCTAATCTGAATTTCTCCTTGAGTCAGAACAACTCGCGCGAGTTAATCTGACTTTCTCCCTTGAGTCAGAATAACTCGCGCGAGTTATTCTGAATTATCTGAGTCTGATTCGTTTTGAACGGCTGGTTCCGGTGGCCAATCCCGAATTAAGGGCGCGATGTCCAAGCGCACGTGCACCCAGCGGGCCGAGAGAGAGAGAAGATAGAGCTGCTGAAAAGTGGAAAGCTTATCCAGAATGGACTGCAGCAGACGCTTCGCGAGAGCTAAACGTCAAGGAGCCTACCCTGCGGGGATGAAAACAACAGTATTGGGATGCACTAGACTGGGGGTTCTGTGATTACCGGTATCGTCTCCCAATTGGGATTGGCTCCCACCGACCAACAAGGGATTTGCTGAATGCCAAGTTGTGACAGTAAGTGAGTCGGTACGAAAGCTGTGTTAACCATCTTCGTCTGATCATTTTACACTTTTTGTCACAACTTTCATGTATCCACTCACCTGGTGTCATTTTCCCGACAGGGGGGCTGTACGTACTACTACTTCTAGCACTACCAGGAAAAACATCAAACAGCATAAACTTGCCGGAAAGTCTCCCCTGGCTTTTAAATGTCCTTTACAGGATGACCGGCGATTTGCAATTTACCGCTATCTAAAGCTGATTTGGTCAGTGCATAGATTGCTACTAATAATTGTCAACCTGAACTAGGTATTTGAAAAAATCATTTTTGCCTTTCTTCTACCAAAATCAAATGAGGCTGATGCTTCCGGTGATCTAAGCTACACCACAGGCTGGATGCTTGTCCAGATGGCACTGACCACATCAAGCTCATCACCGCTTCTGCCTGCGAAACCACACAGCTGATAGCCATCTTTTGCATTGTCCGATCCAATCTTGTCTGTCCGTGTGCCGCCTTCGATAAAGTTCCCCAAATTGGTGGTGAACTTAATATACTTGACACGCGTGCGCCCCTTGTGTTTACCCGCGTGTGCCTCCATGACAGTGATGTATTCACCTTCAGCCAATGCTAGAGGGGCTTTAAAGACTCCACCATAGCCGCCGTGGTAGAAGGTATTCTCCTCCCCGGATGGGTTCTCGACGGTGAGGATGACAGCATCGACGCGCTCGCCAGCGCGAAGGATGATCGACAACACTTTTTGACCAGACTTGACCAAAGGCGCGTCGGTATAGTCGTCACCATGGGGACCACCAAATGACGGACCTGCGTAAGTACCGGGTGGCAAAGTGGGATATGCACTTTTTACATCTCTTCCATCTCCGTCATGGTTTCCGGGCCCCCCACCTCTCCCACCACCACCCACACCGCGTCCGCCAAATACCCCTCCTATTATTTCTTCCGATTCAATGTCTTGACTTGCTAGGTCGGTTCTGAGCGCCATGTAGTCGTTTGATTATGACCTCGTCGCGGTCTTGGAAGCGAGTGAGACACCGTCGTCCCTAGAAACCAAGGCGACCACAATCGCCAACACGAAATAGAGTACGCGCATATCGTTGCAATTGGATGATGAAAGGAACGCAAATTCGCGAATGAGGTATTAAAAAAAAACGAAGTGCCACCAGAACAGCTACTGTATTAATACTATATTAATACATACGACATGTACTTCATTGCTGTAATGAGTGGCGTACATAATAATAATGTACATGTTATCTGACTGGATAATCTATCGGGAAAAAATCCATCACGTACCTTGTAGTACTAGACATCATGATATTATTATTAGTAAGAGGAAGGTTTTTACAAATCTCCGATTCATGACCGTATACATGTACTGTAGTACAGGAACAGAAATTCGGAAAGGCCGTCATGGTATTAATACATGTACAGGCTAATTTAGTCGGAAATCCTCCAAAGGTAATCAATTGAGTGACAGCAGGGTAAATACTGTCCCTGACTCGTTATAAAATCAGCTTAAGTGCTCTCCTTTTAGATGTAGCGTGGTACATTATTAATATTCGGAGGCACAAGTGTCTCTGAATTGGTCAGTCAAGTGTACACTTTTATAATAGTGCCCTTGTTTACGTATCGCTTCTATTCAATGGCAAATCTTCTAAACCCACCATATTGCTGCTACGGTTCTGTACTGTACTACATGTATAGGTTAAGTTGAACTTTGAGCTGTTTATCTGCAGCAGTAGTACTAAACAATTTGCAAGTACACCATTTCCTGGAATTGCTAAATTCATACATGTAGTGAGAATGCCGTTACTGACATTATAGTGAGATGAAGTGCGGTATTTAAAAAAATATTAATCTTGGAGGGGGACGGGAGAAAATGGAACTAAACTATACCGTAATACGCATGCCGTTGTAACAATTATGATCAGTATTTTCTAAACACGATTCCTGCTTTAGAGGGGTAAACGTTTACTCATCTATTAACAGCTGCTCTCTGTAATTTATGGTGGAATTTCCTTTATCCAGTACTAGTGTACCAGGCACTGAACTCTGAAAATCGGCGAGTTTGGATTGGATTAGAAAAATAGTACCTCGGTCACGCTAATTAGTCGTAGCTCGCAATTAGTCGTGGATTTGCACTTTAGTGACATCACAAATTCGGGATATTTGGCAAAAATGATCATATCTAAAGAAAATACCGGTTTTGAGCAGATCTCATCGAGCTCTTTGTTCCAGTATGCAGTATACCGAGCATACTATGCTCGGTTTAAAAATTAAACAGTGTCACGGTGTACAGTTAGATGGTGTACTAACGATGCTGACTGACTGCCTGCAGTAGGTCTACTCACTCCAGACTCTCCGGACCACGTCCAAGCAAGCGGGACCTGCGACCAAGACAGTGATGTTCCAAGTGTGAAGTCGTGAAGCAGCTGGTCGTGGCGGGAATTGGAGCTGGACCGCCACACACGAGGGATCTGCATAAAGGTAAGAAGCTCGAAAACCCTTAGCGGGGTGAAATGAGGAAGTCAGCCATGGATTTTCTTCTTACAAGCATCACAAGAATATATCAACTTTTACATTACTATCCCAGTAGTGTCGCTAATACTACTACCTCCTGCGTCGGCCCAAGATACTCACGACCCCGATTAGAGGAAGATCGCGACGATTTGGTGGAGAAGCAGGGTATCTTTTAGCCGAATATCATAGGGGTACAAGCACGAGAAGAAGTCTTGGATACGGAGTGTATAGGAATAAGGATAAGGAAGTGGGAAAAGCATAAGTGCTCATGGATGGTCAGGCGAAGGACTTGGAGCCAGTGAAGGGGTAAGGGGATAGGCTCCTCCGTCAGAAACGAAGCCCGTGGAGATCCTCGAGGAGGAAGAGGAAGTGCGCGCTGAGAGAGCTGCTGGCGGGCGGCACGCCGCAGAGACCTCAAGGACGGGAACGCCAGGGAGATTGCGAGGAACGTGGTACGCCGCAGCGAGCTGATCCCGAGACGAAAGGGCACGAGACACGAGCGGTCCACGTGGAAGGAGAGGACATGTTCGAAGTTGCGTCTCCGTCTCCGAGAAGGACGGTTGAGTCTGTGTCCGGAGCGCCTCAGGGTGGACAGATGTCTAACACAGTCTTTGATCAGTGGGCACGCCAACCGGCGCCCAGCGAAGGGACGATGCCTGCAAGGACGACGACGGGTACGCGCTAGGACGCTTCGGTGATGAACTCGGGAGGTCGCCGCGAGGTGGGGTTCGCCTTGGATCGGACTCGTCCCTCGTTGCAACCGATGGACGACTCTAGAAGAGACGTGTCCATGGTCATGCCAGCGTACGGACAACTCAACAACAGCGTACCGGGCCAACAAGGAAGCAGAAGTGCCCCAGGTGCTGCACCTGTTGTTGCTGGGTCGCCTACGCGAGCGTACGTGCTTAGTGAAGGGCGAGGAGCGACGCCTGTTCAATCGATGAGAACGCCGACGACGGACCCAGCCTTACAGACTCTCATCATGAACGGTCTCGCCCAATAGTTACAGAGGGCTGGGATGACAAACGGAACGCCCGTGTCGTCACCAAGACCTCAAGCTACGGGACACGTTCCACGTACCGTGCGGACGCCGACCCGTCCAGTGACGTCTTCAATGATGGGGTACCAAGGACCTATGACCCCGAGAATGAGGACGCAAACGCCGGTTTCGACACTAAGCCGAATGCCGATGGCTGCGACTCCCTCGTATGGCGTGTCAATTCCCATGGCTGGTTTCACGTGGATCGGTGAAGGTAGTGGAATGCCTCAAAGGAGTGCGTTCTACCCTCCCTTCCAGCTGCCAATGACGTCGAAACTTGGATGGGCTGCTGCTGGAACGATACCCGCGTGGTCTGCAGCGTATGCACGGTAGACACCAACCAGCCCCAGAAGCGGAACTTACAGATTGCCGTTCCAGAGAACGTCGTCTATGAATGTTGCGACGTTCCAGGGACGAACAGGAACGCTGAGGCAAGAAGGGAACGTGGGTGCTCAGGTAGGAAGGTACGCACCTAACGCAATACCTCCCCTAGGGCAAGTGACGAGTCCGCACTCCGACCAAGGAGTCCGCAATAGCTCGCACAGGTCAGGAAGAGGCGCTCAGCTGGACGTTCCGATTGTTGGTATCCCGACGGAATTGCGGAACGCTGGGAAAGTTATCGTCCCGTTCTACTCAGAGACGACCACGTACGAAAGGGCGGCCGCGTTATGGCGTTCATGCAAGAAGTGTACGCTCGGAATGGACGACCAAATGCGGTTGCCAGCCTTCGAGCAGTGTCTGAAGGACAAGTTGGGCTAGAAATGGTGGTACAATGCGAGGATTAACGACTTTAAAGCTCTGCGCGTGAAATTCCATAATCGCTGCATCGTTCAGACGCCTGCTCAATTGTGGAGCCGACTCAAAGCCGCTAAGAAGAACTATGGCAAATCTGCGGAAGAGTGGAGCGACAGGATTATCACGATGTGCGAGTACCTAAACTATCACGAGCCTCGTATGCAGTACGAGTTCCTCCTCGATGGGTTAAGGAACAAGCCGATGCGGGCCGTTTTGAGCGCGAACTTAGCTCCGTCGATCCAGGAAGCGTGCGTTATATTGCTGTACAAGAATCTGCACCTCCCTGTGAAAGAAGAGGACGACTTTGCGAATAGTGGAACGACGCTGAGGAATGTGAGCGCCGTGACGACCACGCAGTCGCAGATGCTCCAGCAGCTTCAACAAATGAACCAGTTGATGCTGAAGCAGCAGCAGGAAGCCGACACTCGCAGAAACGAGTGCCGAGCTTAAGATACCGGAAGACATGCTGGAACGTACCCGGGGGGTCTCATCTGGAGATCTCAGAGCGCCAGAGTATTGGCTGGACTGGTACGCTCACACGCTTGAGACGTCGACTGAACCGAAGCGTGCAAATTGGAACTTCAAGGATATCGGGGGGAACGGAAGAGAAGTCGACGACGGTTGTTGGTTCTAGTACGAGAGACGAGGACAAGAGCAAGGGTTTTTGCGAGGTTGTCTGAGGACGCGCTGGAGAACGAGCTTATACAGAATGTTTGTGTCGGACTCGAAGAGGACGTCGGCCGATCTCGGAACTCCCTGCGGAGGTGACGTGAACGTTACCATTTTGTTGGCGTTCCATAATTCGTAGCCGAGTGTACGAACTCCTCAAACAAGAGCAGAACGCTACGAAGGGTCGTCAATTCGACGTTCCTGAGAGCGAGGGGAACGGTGATGCTGAAGACGACATCCCACCATTGCGCGACAAAGAGAACATAGTTTTATTGAACGAGGACTCGTTCCGAGACACCTCGTTGGAGTAGGTGGAACGCTGACTGAGACGTTCCTAAATCGAGCATTGGCCTGGGCACGAGACTATTTCAAGACAGAAGCTTCCGTTATTTGCGACAAGCTGTGCGACAGACGATACAAGACGTCAAAAATAGTGGCTGCGATCGTTGGGACGAGTTCCAGGAAGAGGGTGACTTTCGGTGCGATTATCGAGGACGGAGATCCCAAAATAGAAGAAGATGAGTCTGAGGTCTATTTCCTAAACGTAAGAAGAGCTCCCAAGCCGCGAACCTGGACTGCGCGAAGTGAGTGGTGGTGATGCCTTTGACGACGGTGGAAGTGTCGGGCCTGATGGCAAGCGTGTCATCCGCAGCGTTGGGGGTGTGCAAGCGCTGTCGGACGGCTTTATCGATTGCTGCCCGTCCAAAATGCTGGCTGATACAGGTGCGGTTGCAAGCCTTGTCGACAAACGCGTGCTGAAGCGTCTCGGCCGAGCCTCCGAACCTCTAAGACCTTATACGGGGAGCTTGGATAGCGTCTTGGGGCACAAGATTGGCGTTAGTGGGGTTATCGACTTGCCCGTCACTCTTTGAACGCTGGTGCAAACGCTTCCTTTCGTCGTGACCGATCACTTGTTTGCAGACGCAATTTTATGAAAGGTTCACCAGAGCCCTGGCACCAATTCGGTATGGATTTTGGATGGCGCCTCGATTGACCGAGACCCAGAAATAACTTAGTTCCTCCGGAGTATCGGAGTGATTCCTATTTTCCTGCCTAATGTTCATTCTTCAATCCGATTGAGTTTATGTTCAGCTATATCAAGCCGAATTTAAACTCAATCAAGCCGAACTTAAACTCAATCAAGCCGAACATAAACTCAATCGGATTAAAGAAGGATCATCTCAAAATCATTATGTTGAGTCAAGTGGTAGCGATCTACTTCTGTTTGTGATTGAAACGCTTACACGTTTCGAAAAGTTCAAAATAGCGAACGTCTTTCAGTACTGCGGCTGGGCAATGCAGGGCCATTTCGATCCGACTGTCCCATTGTCAAGGGAAAATCGACACGACGCGAGACAGGAGAGCTTGGATGTTCAAGGTATTGGTAAAAATAACAATTTAGAATTTTTACAAGAAAAAACGTTTGGTTTAGAAAGATAGTACAATGACTTGCTGAAGCACTACTCTTGGTGTTCGATGTCCTCCATGTTCTCCATTGAGACTAGCGGATCAATCACAGCCGAGATAGGTCGTAGAGCAATATTGGCGCGGATACCTTAAAGTATCATTTTGGGTACTACAAGTGCGTCCTTCTGATTTGATAACGCAATCCAAACATCTCTTAGTGATGGTGTATCTGTTCGTTTTGTTTAAGCGATGCATCAGCAACTTAGAGAGCCAAATTAGCCGATTTGGTGAGGCCTGCTAGATGTTGCTCAACTCGCGCATCAGCTGCCTGAAGCATCGGCAATATCCTAGCTGTTGGAGGGTCCAACACGGCATTTTCCCACGTTGAGCGATCTAAATTACGCACAATTTCATTCACATTTTCCATGCTGCAGCGCTGGCTTGAAATATTCCTCCCCAAATTTCACGGAGTCGCTCCAGCAGCTCAAGAATTGACGCCTCTGTAGCAGCGCCAGAACGGTCTGTGTGCTCTGGTCGGATACAGGTCACATTGAAGTCCTCGAGAATCCGTGCATTTGATATACTTAGACCATAGGTGTAAATCATCAAGATGGCCGTGTCACCACGGCGTGAAGCAACCCAGCGGTTCCATAATTCTTCAGACTTTGATGTCGGAATTATGCGCCCATTCATCTTAAATTACACCACCTTGTTCCACGTAGGATCGCTTGGCTCACAAGTCCATGTCTCACCATCTTTTACAGCCTGGCCTTAAAATGGCACTTGAAATTCTCCCAAAGCTTGTGCATGATAGCGTCAAACGTGGCTCCATTTGCAGCAAAAACATCTAGCATTTTGCCTGATGCGTCACGCATCCCAACAGTGGCTTTGACGACGCCTTGTATCACTAGTGGTAGGCGGTGTTGCTCTGGCTTTTCTGGCGATGTGCTCAGTGGTACGCGGGCTAGGTGACTAGCTGGATATGCTCAGGATGGAAACGACTGAAGAGACGTTTGCTCCCGCGATGGGTACGGCGAAACACGCAAGGCTGGCAGCGTTGAAAGTGGCGTCTCTCGCACGGCCCTAGGCGATGTCCTGACACACAAGGTTTAGTACTTCTGCCTTGCTGTGCATCGGTCGGTTCTTGTCCTGAAGTCCCAGGCTTGCTGCTTCATCGGCCATGCTAACACTGTCCCCAGCCAGACTTGACTGCCAATGCAGCAGCGGCTAAGGACATTCTCCCAGCGCACTGTACACAAACCAGACGGGCGACTCCGACTGGAGTACTGCGAGCTTGAGGCGGGTGAACACTGCAGCCTTGCAGAGCTTCGTGGGTCGTACATTCGGACGTAGCTAGCGGCTCAGTGAGGTGCGCTGCAAAACACAATGGGACCTACTATGCATACTACTATCCCTACTTCTACTACTAAATGTATTACGGCTATCCGTGATATTTGTTACTTCATGGCCTCCGTGACATCGCCTCATTTCTGTGGTCACTGCAGAAACAGTTGTGGCGCAGTATTTGCACTTCACCCGCAGTCTTATACGAGCTATTTAGGGTATCCCCTCGTTTAGCGAGCGGGAAATGAACTAGAAAACGTTGCCATCCACAAGCGTCCAAGCACTAAGATACCCACCTATTTAGTTACTCACGTCGAGTACCATCGAGCGATTAAGTTGCAACGGCAAGTGGACGGCAAAAACATTGGAACCAATAAAACTTTAAAAAAATTGCCAAAAAATGAAAAAAATACCAGTCGAGTACCATCGAGCGATTAAGTAGCAGCGGCAAGTGGACGGCAAAAACATTGGAACAATAAAACGTTAAAAAAAATTGCCAAAAAATGAAAAAAAAATACCAGCATATGTCTGATACTGGGGAAATTAGGCACGGTACTACTAAGTATTCAATTAGCACTCGCCAGATTATGATCATCCCTTTGTCGGCGAGTTGATAAACACTAGACTACTTATATAAGCCATAAAAAGTTCTTCGTCTGTTGAAGTACGCCGCCATCGCACGGTTCAGGTACGGTTCGGAGCTACGGTCCGTCCCGTTCTGTCTCAGAACGGATTACGTCCCGATCAGGAACGATTGTGATAGGATAATAGGCATAAATTACAGTTTGGCTGGTTCAGGTACGACAGGAGCGGTGCTATCACAAACACTTACAAGAAGACAACAAGGGGGACAATCGAGGAATAGTGCTTAGAAAGACATGTAGGAGGGTTTCGGCTAACCCTAATCTACTCACTTCGGCATTTGCCTCCAAGAACGCAATCAGCGATTCAACAGGTTAACAGCTGCGAGAACGCTCTACACGCACGCTCCAATCATCACGATCAAGAAAGTCGAAGACCTCCTGGGTAGTGGAAACTACTTCCACTGGGAGTATAGCATGCGCATTAACAATGGCCCGTAAGGGTCTGCTTGCGCATGTATGGGTGGTCAAGCCGGAAAATGAGGCCACAGAGGCCTGATTGGTCCAGGACGGAAAAGCGCTCGCTATCATCGCTCAAGGCGTACAGCTCCAACATCAAACAAAGATTTGCTCTGCGACCTGTACAATGCAGGCCTGGCGTACTTTGTGAGAATACTACAGCGTACGACGATTCACAATCGTGTCGCGATGTCACGACGCCTGCAAACCCCCCAACAGGTTTCGGAAACGGAAAGATGAAGCAGAGCCACTTGGTCTCATGCAACTGTACGCTCAATGTGTGGTGCATGAGGCTGGCGCTGACAGAGTGAGTATTGCGTGATGCCATCTGTACCAGCAGAAATCCATTCCTCTAGTCGACAGTGTATACAACTGCTGTCTGCAGTGACACATCATAGCAAAGGTATCTTATCCGTTACAGTATTATTAATACTATTAGGTGCTCCTGCTGTCAGCTCGAGCTGAAAATCAAAGTCGAAGTTGGTGGCCGGGGTCGCCGTCGGATTATTAATACGAAAAAATTATACCCAAAATATGTACCTACCACGGCTCCTTCACCAAAGAGTCAAGCAACAGGACGCGTTCGACGAGCTGGTCGTCGGATTCCAGACGCTGGGAGAGCCACTTGACGACGCACGACAAATGGCTGGACTGTTGAGCAGCTTACCGTCCGAGTACGAGTTGATATCGTCGAACATCAAGTGCGCAACAGATGTGACACTCAACGATGTGAAAGAGAAACTCTTGAAATAGTACGAGCGGTTGGAAAAGAAGGAGACCGCGGAACACGCGTTCAAGGTGAATGGCGGCCGGCTCAAAGGTAGACAAGGAAACGGTCGAAAGGAGAGCGGAACGGGACAACGGAATGGACCACAAAAAAATGGGCTCGGTTTCAAGGGCAAGTGCTTTAAAATGCGACCAAGTCGGTCATATGAAGCGGGACTGCCCGGTCAAGGACGGAGATCGTGAGGGCGACTTCGTATTCGAAGTGGGGGATTGACGGATGGCTGATCGACAGCGGTGCCACGTCCTACATGAAGCCCCACCGCGAGGATTTGTTCGAATACAAAGATATGGCCACCGGGGTTGAGGTGAAAATCGCGGACGAAAAGAAACGGCACGTAGCAGGACAAGGAGCGGTCCGGTGGACTGCTTTGGATGGAGGACGCATCAGGATGATCGAGGTGCTCTACATCCCCGGTCTGGACAGACGTTTGCTTTCGGTCGGAAAATTGGCTGAACGCGGTCTAAACGGGGAGTTCCAAAGAGCGTCATGTATCGTTGGGGGGGGCCCAGAGCGATCGCACAAAGTAATAATGTCACCAAAGCGTTCGTTCTGGATTGTTAGGAGGAAGCAGCACAGCTTGGGCAGTACGCCGGGGCTGACAGCGAGTGGGAGCTATGGCATGCTCGGATTTGACATCCCGGACGGGGCGGGCATTTGAGAAGGCTCGTATGTATTTTTCCGTCTCTGATTCAGCCGCTCCGTAATCCCCTCTCCTTGTGGCCGAAATGGAGTGATCCTCTTCTGCTCTACTAAAAGTAACTCACACATTTGCGTCCAGAAGGCTGCCGTGAACTTCGAGTCTCTGTCTGATAGCACAACGTTAGGAAGCCTATGCAGTCGAAATCTCTCTCGACGGTATCGTTCTGCAATGTCCTCAGCTTTATCAGTCGTTTTCCCCGCCACAAAGTGAGCCCCTTTCGTGGGTTGGTCGATCACCACCAGCACGCTGTTAAATCCACGCGGCGTTGTCTGTGACGGGGTCACACAGCACCTTGCACAGAGGAAGTGCTAAAGGGTATTTACTACCCGACTGGATGTTAGGCCACGTGTTCCCGGCCTCAAAGGAAACGGTTTGCTACAAAGAGGAGTAGATGTTCTGAGACTCAGCGAGCCCCAGACACCCTCGTGCAGTCTCACTACTGCACACATTCTAACCGGCTCCCGCTACCAGCTAGAACAACATGTCAGCATCGTCAACGTCAGCATTGGCTTCGACCAATCTGACGTTCCGACGCAACTCTGGCAGACCTCTCTTCTTCCGATCAGCATCCTCAAAGGCACGTACCATCGTTTCAAACTCCGGTGCTAACGCCGCTCGAGACAACCAGAACGTCTCCGCGGCGGTGAGTACGAGATACCGCAACTCACGCTTTTCGACTCTCTTTGCGATCACGTCCACTATCGGCGATGCCACTCCCGAGAACGCAGTTTCTTCTTCACCAATAGACAGACGTTCCACAAAGCTCGGCGACAGCAAGTCCTCGACGTCCAATGGACCCGTACCGTCCTCATCCTCTTCTTCTTCGACTCTATCAGGCTTCTCGTCTGCGTAGGGTCGGCTCCAGTGTTCTTGAAAGCGCTTCAGACGGTTAACATTCACCGTGACGACCTTGTTCGGGTGCATCGAAATTGCGATCCTGTAGGCGTTCTCCCCGACTTGGCCAACAACACGGTAGGGACCGTGCCAGAAGAACGCCAACTACTCTGTCCTGCGTTCCCCCACCCGGGCTCTAATGTACTGGTTCCCCTAGACAGCGTCTCCTTCTGCGTATGTCACCTTCACTTGGTTGTCCAACCACTGCTCGTGTCGATCCTGAGCCTGCGTAGCTCGTGTCGATCCTGAGCCTGAGTAGTTGTCGTTCCACAAGACGACGAGAGCCGCGCAACGAGTGATACAATTTTCTTCGGTACGTTGCAACTTCGTTACTCTTCCAGTCCTTCCCAGTGTTCAGGAACGCCAAGTCGATAGATAGCACATGATCACGCAGGTACTTACTAAATAACGGGGTGTCACCGAGGCCTTCGTGATACACCGTTCGGTACGCAAATAGGACCCTTGGCAGGTGCATGTCCCAATCCGTCTGCGTCTCGTTCTCAAACATACGTAGCATACCCATCAACGTTCCGTTGAAACGTTCCACCAGACCTTGCGTTTGCGGGTGGTACGCCGCTCCGAACAACTTCTTAATCCCAACGTCTGATACAGTGACTTGGCCAGATTGGACTTAAAGTTGGACCCACGGTCACTTAGTAGACATTCCGGT